AGGTAGCTAACCACTATGGTTAACAGAGCTAACGACCACCATCATGGCCAGAGTTCTTAGTCATTTTTCTGCATCCCAGCATTCCTCGGGGACACAATTCATGCCCATCAGGTAGACTGGTCCCCACATGCTGGTGATTCTTGGAATTGGAGAGCATGGAATTTCAAGTATGCAAGTGTATCAGACAGCTATTGCTATAATACTGCCTAACAAACAAGCTCAAACTTCACTGGCTTACAAATTATATGCATTTATTTCTCACTCAGGGGTCCGTGGGTTGGCTGAGGACTGAATGATTTCAGTGGATGCGTGTGGCAGGTTGGTTCCATGTCTACTCCACGTGCCTCTCTTCCCCTGGAATTAAGGGGCCCCCAGAGGCACGTGGCTAAGCCTCACTGCACAATCATGTTTTAAGCCTCTGCTTGTGTCATAATCACCACTGCCCTATTGGCCTAAGCAAGTCACATGGCCAACCCGAAGTCAAGAGGCGGAAGTGAATACTGTGCCCACCAGGAGATTCTGGCATGAATGTGGATGTAGTTGACACCACAGAGGGGTGGAGAGTTGGGACCATGAGTTTGATCGGCTGCCCTAGGTGGGTCTAACACTTCCCACTCCTCCCCAGGGTCAGGGTGCTCCCACCTAGAAGCACTGCTTCAGCATGTTTCCTTGTTCTTTTATATATACACTTTTTACCAAATTGGGTTAATAGTCTACTTTTTAAAAATCCCTGCTTTACACCCTATATTTTTCTTTACATTAAATATTTTGGGACATGTAATTTAATGGCAGCTGCATTATAAAATCATAAAGTTTGGGCATCACTTATTGAACTCGTCCTCTCAGATTTTTAAGTTGTTTCCATTTGGCTATTATAAATAACAATGTGGTAGCCATCTTCATACAGACACTTTATTGCATCTGCAACAAACATTTTTATTCTTGCTTGCCCAGCTCCAGGTCTTACCTCTCTCTGATAACAGGAGCTTGAATTCCCTTTGGGGCAACCATCTGTCCTCTTTCAGTCCATGAAGTTCATGTGGCATCCACCACCGGCTCCAGGGGAATGGCCTCTAGCCAGGAAAGATGTAAAACCCACACAAAAATGTAACCCAGGCCTGGCCAATCAGAGCATGGAATCCCTCCTGGTTAGAAAGATTGGTGAGAGAGAGATAAGTAGGTTAGAATGGACACATTGCATAGACCTGGTCAATCAGCGATTTGTTTAAAGGGAGGCACATGACCTCAGGTGATCCAATCAGAGTGAACCCTGGGACTTTCCCAGGACTTACTGGGAAGGGACATGCTCCCTTTTCCTCGGACTTCAGTTTTCGAGGTGCAGGGCCAAGGCGGTTGGCAGCTATCTTGTTAACACAGAGCCTGAGAATGAAGCCAAGATGTACAAACAGAGCTCAGGGACAGAGAGTGGCTGGGTTCTATTGACACTGAGCTCCTGATTAAGCTGTGCCTGAAGCTAGAACCCCTGGCCTTTCAGTTTTAAAAGCCAATGTACTCTCTTTTTGGCATAAACTGAGTTGAGTTGGGCTTTCTGTCATTTGGAACCAAATAGCTCTGGTGTTGTTAACTTAAATTTCTTGACCTAGGATGACTTGAGCCAAAGGACATAAACATTTTTTAAGCCTCTTGAGACTTCTTATCAAATTGCTTTCCAGAGTTTATTATGCAAAGTGTTGGAGAGCCAATCTTATAAGCATTAGTATATTAGCTTAAAAAGTTTTAGGCAGAAATTATATGGTTTACTTTTATTTTTAGTGACGTGAAATATTTTTCATGTTTATAGGCCATGTTTACTCATTTTGTGGTTTGCTGAATGTAACAATTCATGTCGATATTTTTTACTTTGTAAGTTTATTTTTTAAATATCAAAAACATTGTACCTTTTTTAATATGTCAACACTTTCCCACAGATTATTGTCTTTAAATGTTTTGATGTGTCCTTAGATACATGTATTTTTAAATTTTTTTTTTGTGGTCAGATTATTTTCAGGTGTCACTTCTGTTGCTTTCATGCTTCCAAAGTCCTTCCTGACTGAGGACCACGTAAATGTGGACCGGGTTTTGACATTTAGATACCCAGTATTTCTCACCCTGTGTTTCGAGCCCATCTGCAGCAAACCCCACCTGGGAGCTTGTTAGAGTGTAGGTTCATGGCCAGGCATCTGTTCTGATCCTCCTCCTTCCCAAGGAGTGTGACAAAACATCTGAACTAGACCTACAAATGCACAACAGGTACACAGCAGGCAGATGGCAGGGGACAGAAGGACAACCAGCTCTCCACAGGGCCTTAACAGGCAAAGCTCCAAATCCAGCGATCCGTGCCCTGGGCCCATAGTGGGTATTAAGTCCAGCACCTTGCAGGAGATTAGTTAGGCAGGTTAGACAGGGTGCGGGTGGCCCTCCCAGAATGCCAGGCCCATCCCCATCACACAGAAGGAAACTGGAGTCCAGGTAGGGGGAGATGGTTCCCCAGGTGGGGCAGGCCCCGGCTTAGGTATTTAGGATTTGCCGTGATGCTAAAGCAGCCGTGTTCAGAGTGTGGTTCCAGGACCACCAGCATCAGCTTTACCTGGGCGCTTGTTAGAAATGTAAATTCTAAGACCTCACCACCCCAGACCTGCTGGACCAGAAGCTCAGGGCCACACTCTATTGTTACAAGCCTTCCTGGTGAACGTTCAAATCCAAGATTGACTGGCCTAACATGTCCCCACGTTGCAGGGAGGCTAAGAGGATACTTCAGATCTCTTTGGAAAGTGAATGTGGTGGGGAAAGAAAGACAACTGAGGGAGGTGGGCCTGTGAGGGAGTCTCTGCAATGGACTGGATGTTTATGCCTCCCCTGCTCCCCGCGGCCCCATTCTTAGGTTGAAAACCTAAACCCCAACGTGATGGTGGAGCTTTGGGAAGGTGAGATGGTCCTGAGGGCTCTCTGCTCTCATGAACGGGATTGGTGCCTTTATAAAAGAGATCCCTTCCACCATGTGAGGACATGGCTAGAGGACAGTCATCTGTGAACCCGGAAGAAGGCTCTCACCAGACACCGGACCTGCTGGTGCCTTGATTTTGGACCTTTAACCTCCAGAACTGTGAGAAACAAATGTCTGTTGTTTAGGCTACACTATTTTGTTATAGCAGCCCAAATGGACTAAGACACCCTCATGCGTGGCCTCTGGATAGAAGTCCAAACCTCGTGGTCTGGTTTTGGGACCCCACGATGATTTCCCAGCCCGCCTTCTCAGGCTGCCGGTCAGGTTCTTCATGCTGCAGCCAAACAGGAAGTCCCTAGCCCTGTGTTTCCTTCCCTTTCTTCAGCCCTCCCCCAACCTCCTCCTCCTCCTGAAATCTGACTCAAGCTCCACCTGAGATGTGCTGTTTGCTCCAAAGGCCTGTGAGATCTGAAATGCCACAGGCTGCTCCCTCCCCAGGTCCCCCTTTTTTTTTTAAATAAAGATTTTATCGGGGAATTGGGGGAAATATTTTTATTGGGGAATTGGGGGAAGGGGAACAGACAAGTTGCTGTCCTTTTGTTCTTCAGTCTAGTTGTGGAGGACGTTGCTTTACTGGCCCAAGTTGGCACCATCATTGCGCTCTTCCCAGGTGAGGCAGATCAGTCGCCAGCTTCTGGATGGCCACTCACTGTGGCTGCTGGCTGCTCACGCTGGCTGCTGGCTACACACGGTAGCCCATGGCAACCCACTGCCACAGGGGCTGCAGCCTACGCCTTCGCTGGCAACTCATGGCAGCCCAGCTCCAGGTTGAGCTGTTGTTCAGCATCTTAGCTGTAGAGGGCAGTGTCACTGGCCCTCATATGTGGGATCCGAACCAGGGCCCTCTGGCGTCCCAAGCCAGTTCTTAACCATCTTGCCACTCGGCCGGCCCCCGGGTCCCTTTTGTTTAAACTGCCCTTAAGACCTGACCACACTCAGCCATCTTTATTATGTGTAGCTCCCCTATTTAATCCAGTGGCCGAGTCCTACCCACTCTCCTCCCTCGCTCCGTCTGAGGCTCCCATCTTCCTCTCCCAGTAGCACCTGGCATACAGCAGACCCTTGGGGTTTGCTGACTGAGTAGCAGCATCTTTTCTGAAACACGCCTTTGAAAGTTCGTTTGCTGGCCCACCACTGTTTGCAGCTCATGGATTGCCCTTAAATTTCAATTTTTACCTAAATCAATTAACATCAGTTGATCTCCAGAGGTGAATTCTTTTCAGGACTGTGATGGTTTCTAGGATGATGTTACCCCAGTGACACAATAAAACCTAACCAGTGGCTTCCACGCAGACCTTGCTTTTCCAGCCTTGACCTAGAACGTCAGTCTAGAGAGGGGGCTGCCTTAGACATCCTCTTACCCAATTTTACAGGTGGGAAAACCAGCCGAGAGAGGCACCATGCCTTGCCAAGGTCTATCTAAGAGTAGCATTCATTCCAGGCAGCTCTGGAACCCAGGGTGGGCAGAGGGCACCGACTTGGTATTCAGTTCCTGGGAGCCAGGAATGAGATGCTCCCCTAAATTCAGTGCCTCCAGTCTGTTGTGCTCCCCAGTCTGCTGTGTGCAGGGCAAGCGCCTACGCATCCTACAGCTCTGGGTGGCTCTTTATGAGAGTTCATGTGACTCAGACATTCCCAATAGCCAGACATCCCTCCCAAGCTCCTCGGTCTCAGATGAACCCACTGATGACAGAAAGGCAGCCCCAGCTCCTGGTTACAGATCCCCAAACTGGGACTTCCCACTTGGCTGCTGCCTCCAACTGAGGAACCCCCAGTCCTCTTCCCCATGGTCCCAGGCGGGTCTCTCCTTGATCCTGGGCAATCACCCAATATGAGGAAGAGCACCCCCCAACCCAACTGGCCCCAGGACCCCAGTCGCCCTCTCATTGCCCCTAGGCTGGCTCCCACCCACTCAGGGGCGCTGGCGGTAAGAAAAGGAGGCCAAGCAGGTAAGGAGGTGGTCATGATGCCAGTGGGGCCTGCGTGGCCGCGGTTGGGTCAGTACAGGCTGGAGTACTCAGACGTTTGGGTGCTGGGAAAGGGGAATCCTGGGGGTCCAATCTTGACCATTTGGACATTTCCTGAAGGGCCCGGGGTACCTTCTGAATCTCTGGTCCTTGAGGCTGTCGCCTGACCAACACACTCTGGGTCCCGTGAGCAGTGAGATCAATTTCACAGTCTCCATTTTGTCCAACATAAAGTCCTGGGAGGAAAAATAAGTCTCTCACCTGACAATGCTTTAGATCCTGGATAGCACTTCACAGGGACCACAGCACCATCAACATTTGCCTACATCTCCTTTAGCTTTCACGGGGGTCCTGGAAAGGATGTGGTATCAACGACAAATTGGCAAATGAGCAAACCTAGTTCAGAGAGGTGACGTGACTTGCCTGAAACTGCACAGCCCAGTGGTGGCAACGCTGGTTGACTCTGAGTCTGGTTCCTTGTGGCTGCTTGAATGTGGTCGCCTGCCTCTCCTCACTGCTATGTCCATGACCCCCACCCTGACTGCCCCCTTCTCTGAAAGGCATTCATTTCTTAAGGACCAGGTGACCCCGTATGTCCCCCACCTCCAACTCTTTACCTAACACAATGCTGGGCACATGCAGGTAACTCGTTACTCTAGGCGGAGTGATTGTTACAGGAGACCCTTGGGACCCCCCCGATATCACTCTGTAATTTCTTCCTTTTGGGGGGAAAGAAGATGAAATTCATACACTGTGACTATGTAGACAAATGTGCCCTTATTCAAAATTACATCACTCATATCGCAGCCTGAAGGAGGTAAGCCACAGGGGATGCCCATGATGTGGACTTCAACGTGAATGGTGCCCCTGAGCTGTGCCACGGAGTGGCCCTGACACTGCCTGTGACATTCTTGTGACGTCCTTCGCAACTAGGACACAGGCTTCCTCCCTACTGGACAACACTGGAGAAGGGTCTTGCCCCTCGGTGTTCCAGAGGGGCTAAGGATTCTGTTTGAATACCTCCACTGAACCTGCCTCAAGTGAGGAAAGCACGCTGTCACCTAGAATGAAGCCACGTTATGACCAATGCTGCAGACGGCAGGCAGGGAAGGGGAACGGCCAGGTCCTTGATGGCGCCATTGAGCCTCGGGTCACACCATGCCTGAATCCCACCCGGCCACCGAACATCCACGCACGATGCAAGACACGCCTCTTAGAAGAGGTACACGGATGCCTCACGAGCCGTGGCCCAGGACAGGCTGAGGTTGGGGCCAGCCTGGGAGGTGGGAGTCCTCACCTGAATCAGGTCGAGCTTGGAGAAGAGGCCCATGCTCTTGGGCACAGTGCGGGCTGAGGGACAGCACTGCTGGGCCATGTTGTCGATGGTCTTTTCTATATAGCTGAGCAGCTGGTTCTGCAGGAGGAAGGGGAGGTGGGAGGGGGAGAGAAAGAGGGAAGAGGGGAGAGGAGGGGGAGGGGGAAGCAGCTCAGACTCTCTCCCAGCACCCCCCACCCCGCATCCTGTCCCCAGCTCACTCAGGCCAGAGAAACACCCTGGAGCCAGGAGCCACCTTCTCGTCTTGGTCTGTGCTCCACGCCCAAAGATGCTCTGATCAGTCCCACCCTCCCTCAGGGTCTGAGGGTCCTCCTGGCTGGAGACACCTGTGGTCCACACCTGGGGCAGGGGCTCGGAAGGGGCACCGAGGAACCCAGCGCTCCCCGCTCCAGGCCGTGCCACGGTGCTGGACTTCAGGCCTCCGGGGCTGTGGTCAGCTGCGTCAGCCTTGCTTCCCACCTTAAAAAGACCCAGGAGGGGCTCTATAAACTGTGGCCAGTCCACTCCTCCTTTAAACTCTTGAGTGGAGGTCAGCAGCCTACAGACCCCAACCTTCATGTCTTCTAAATTAGGATCCCATGAGGCCTGAGAGGGTCCTACATGGCTGACTACACCCTGTCCAGGTAGAGTGTGCCCAGGACAATCCCGGCTTTGCTCCCTACATCCTCCCAGCAGCCCCTGAGGCCAGAAGGGCCCTGGTTGTGGTTACAGGTGAGGATGGGGGTTGGGAGGGAAACAAGTCCATATTCCCAAGGCCAATAAGAAGCAGCTCGAGAGCTTGAGCTCAGAAATCCTGGCCCCTGGTCATGAACTTCAATCATGGCTTATGCTTCTGAGTATCACTTTTCTCATCTGTGAAACAGGTATGGGGAAGAATCACATAATAGTCAGTCGTGCCCATTTTGTGTTAGGCCTTGGGCTAAGCACTCCCTTAATGATCAGAGAGATATAGGAATTACTGAAGATAGTGCACAAAGACCACTCACTCAAATGTCATTAGGTTATTAACCACAAGCGTGATAGAAGGACTGAATAAGCGCCCAGTATATGCCGGGCCCTGGGACTGGGCTGGGGGAGCCCAACTCTGGTTCATGGTAGAGCTGGGTCCTTTACTGTCTGTGGCCTCAGTTTTCCCATCTGTAAAGTAACATCTGCCCCATCTTCGAGAAGCCCTCTGAAAGTTAAGTCACCATGGAGAGAAAGAGGGCAGGTGTGTGTGTGTGTGTGTGTGTTGAGGGGTAAGGAGACAGCAGCCCCCAGCCCCTGCCCTCACCCCTGGCCCAGCAGACTGAACTCACAGTGTAGCTGCCCGTGTCTTTCTCGTAGATGACATTATGTTCCAACTGCCGCTGCTGCTTTTGCCTGCGGTTACACCTCTTCTGCAGCTGACACAACTGGGTCTTGAGGTTCTGTGGTGAGAAGGGCTGGGTCATTTCAGTGCAGCAAGCCTGCCCTAGAGCTCACTGCCCAGGGTGGTCTGAGTGATGATGGGGGTGGGAAGAGGAGAAAGTCTGGGTAGTTGGGGTCATTCAAAGCACCAGGAGAGCAGGACGGAGCATGTCCAGGCCAACTGGGGTTTCAACCCCAGCTCAGCCCTTGGAGCCCCGTTTTCCTCGCCATAACCAGAGCCACCAACCCGCGTCCTTCTGGCCTCAGGGGCTACTAGGAGGACACCGGGGAGCGAGGCTGTGAAGGACTTGCTGTGGCGCAGGCCTGTGGGGGCCACAGGGCTGTGCTGAGCACACTCCAGGCCCCGCGGGAGCTGTTTGGAGGACACAGGACCTACACAAGTGTCCTCGCTTCCCTGATCCTTAGTTTCCTCGAAAATGGGAAGAACAGCATGGCTGGGACTAAGGTATAAAATTTAAGGGGGCATCAAAAAAACTCAGTAATTAAGATAAATAATATTTTAATGCAACGTTTTTTAAAAATCAAAGTTAATGCACAAAAATCCGTGATGAACAAAATATTAAAATTGTAACAAAGATGGATCCCATCATGCACTGGCATATTCACCTCACTCACTTCCCCTAGTCTCAGCACCTACCTGGAGGGGCTGGGGTGAGATTGAAATGAGATAAAGCATGTAAAATGCTTATCACACTGCCCCCCCCCCCGCCCCAGTCCCCCATAAAGGGTCTCAGTTCTTCAAAGGAAAAAAAAAAAAAAGTAAAAATGGTGTAGGTTTCCGGTTCTGCCAGTAGGGGGAAGAGACTCTCTGCAAAAAACGTCACGCAACGACTCTGTCTTTTGCAAGAATCAACCAGCCTGTCAGCCTTGCTCTCCCTCCGGAGTCCCCTTCCCCTGCGTGTCTCCAGGTCCCAGCTGCAGCAGGCAATTTTTTCATGCCATGCTTTTGCCAGGGCAGTTTCTTCTGCCTGGAATGCCCGTGCTTCCTGGTGAAAGTTCTATTTATGACAAGATTAACCAAGAAGGAAAGAGAGAGGTGGCTTCTTGGGGGCAGTTACTTTGACACAATTTGAGTTCATTGTCTCTCAACAACCTAGCAGCTAAGTTGCATCACCCCCATTTGACAGATGAAGAAACGGAGGCTCGGAGAGGGTACAAACTTGCCCAGGGCCATGCATCTAATCAGAGGCTGAGCTGGAATTTGAACCCCAGTGTGTCTGAATCCAGGACTCATGGCTTTTCGACCATAAAAAAACACCTTTTAAGCATAAGCTGAGCCTCAGGAGAAACCCCGAGTCAGCCAGCCAGCAGAAGGAGAGAAAGGGACTCAGAGCAAGGCTCTGGAGTGACAGTCCCACTCACACCCTCTCAGCAGCCCACGGCTGCTCCAGGCCTTCCCCGGGGGTGCAGAGGCATGTTCTCCGGGCCAAGGGGAATGGGCCAGGCTGCAGGCAGCTGTTACCGGGATAAGGGTTCTATGGCGATCCTCTAGAGATTCCAGGCTCTGGTGGACGGCCTGGTTCATCTTGGAGAAGGCCTCCAGGTGCTTCTGGGCGTCCTGGCTGACTGTGAAGAGCTTCCAGTAGCGCTTTACCATGGCCTCCACCCGTGCTTCCACCTGGGCCTCCTCTGGCTCCTCTCCTTCATCGTAGCCTATGGAGACAGTGCCACAGCGGGATGGGTGGGCAGGAGAGCTGGCCCTCACCTGCCCCCTGCAGTGGGTGATGCTAATAGGTGTTTTCCCAGAATTCCAGCTACAGCCTCAGAGTTGAGAGGCTTACTCCCACGCTGGGCTTACTCCAAGACAGCAGGACTGGTCCAGCAGCTCTTGGGCCCCATCCCCCACCTCCTGTCTCTTCAAAAGAAGCATCAACATTTGAAAAGCTGCCTCACAGTCTCAGATCCTGGATCAAGGAAGGCTGCCTATTGAGGCAGGAGACTGCCCCTGAGGAGAAACTGCTCACTGATTGGGAGGAGCCTGAAAGAAGCGGGCAGAAGGTGTTGCCATGCTGAGTGACTGGGGTCCCAGGCTCTGAGAGTTACTCATCCTGGATGGGTAGAACAGGGCTGAGTTGCTGAATTAGGGAGGCTCCAAACCAGGAAGCTGCCAGAAGCAGCCGTGGATGCTGAGTTTGCTTCAACCCCAAAGTTGTCTTGGTGCTCAAGGCTCTTTGATGCTGCTCAAACTCCCAGTCATATTTCCCAGCACCCCTGCCAGGTCCTGGTGCTCCGACATTCTGGAACTCACCATCCCCAAACCCACCATGCAGGGCCAGGGCGCCAGCCTACATTTGTGCTGTTCCCTCTGCCTGCAATGCCATTCCCTTTTGCTGAACTCATTTGAGCCCCATGAGAGGCCACCTCCTCCATGAAGCCTTCCCTGACATCCAGGGCAGAATTGTTGGGGCTCCCCAGCACTTAGTGCAGTGGCTATGAAGTCAGACGAGAGTCTGAGACCCAGCCCCACCGCTTCCTGGCTGAGTGACCTTGGGCAAGTTCCTTAACCTCTCTGAGCCTGGGTAACACAGTTCTCAGAAGCTCAGGGTAAAAAAGATTTACTAAAGAGCATAGTGCAGAGTAAATATTTAGTAAATGGTAATAATTATTTTTATTATTGATCATATTGAGATAATAATAATGATGGTGATAATAAAAATATGTTTATCTCCCTTTCCCGTTCCTAATAAGCCTCTAGTACTTGTAACAGTGAGCTCTGGTATAAATCACGATAAAAACAAAACAAAACACAAAAACTCATTTCAGATGTCTGTGTAATTTTAGTTGATAACAGCAAAACATAAAGCAGAACCAAAGACAAATGAAAAAACTAGTAATAATAGTTCACGTTTACTGGATGCTAGCAAACTGCTAGGCGCCATGCTACATACTTATAGAGGATGAGTTCATCCGATCCACGTGACTGTTGGGGCTCCCACTGTATACAGATAAAGAGACCAAGACCTTGAGAACTTGCTGCAGGCTCCACCGTGAGAGCCAGCAGGCCAGGGGACTCCCAGGCAGGCTTGCTCAGCACCTGCGCCCTTCTCAACCACAGTGGCTTCTGCCTTTGTGGACCCCCGTTCTGCAGATGAGCTGGAGGTTCAGTAAGGCTACACACTGTGCCCCAATCCTGAGGCTGGGAGGGGGCAAATGGGACAGGCTTTCTGATGAAGCAACACACATACCCTTGGGGACTTTCTCAAGGACCTTAATCAGATAGTCTTCAAAAAGCTTGTGCTTCTCCACCTCTTTCTTCAGTTTCCTCTGCCTGTGGAGACATTTTAGTGACAAGTTGTGAGCCTTGTGAGGTCTCCTGCTCAGACCCGTGCTCCCTCACATCCCCATCAGCAGACCACTGACTTCACTCTCTCCACCCCCAAGTCACTGCTGGCAGAGTTCCTGAGACACACAAAGGTCAAACAGATGCCAGGGGTCACGCCATGAGGAAGGGGCCCAGGCAAGAGTGAAGTGGGGTCTTTCTGATGCGGGGTTAAGGTGCCTTTCCTGGAGGCTGAGCAGGTGATGGTTGGCCCGAGCCCCTACTAGCTGGTGATATGGTCAGGTGCTTCACCTCTCTGTGGCTAGGTGGCCCATCTATAACAGAAAATGAGAGACCCTCCCTCACAGGCTGGCCAGGGCCATGCCTGGGGTACCTAGTATATCGTAAGCACTCAATTTGAGTTGGGGGTCCCAGAAGCCCCCAGAGGGGAGGCAGCCACATATCACTGTCCAGCCATGCCTGCTTCTTGGGGCATCTCTAAGCAAGATGCATGTCTAATAGGTCACCCACTCTGGGCCCAATCAAGGTCTGGAGTCGAGGGCAGAGGGCAGAGCAGGACCTGCCCTGGCCTGGTGGCTGAGCTAACAGGGTGGGTATCTCTGAGTAACCTCTGAGTGACCCAGGGCAAGCCACTCTGCCTCTGGGACCCCATTTTCTCATCGACACAGTCCTGAAAAAGGCAGGAAACATTGCCTTTCCCTAAAAAATACTTTGTGTGGCCCCATGAGCCACAGTGCTAAACCTTATTGGGGCCGGGAAGTCCTTGTACAATCTGGTGAAAGGGTTGGACCTTTTTTCCATAAAATTGTTCAGACACATCTGCTTGCATCGAATTCAGGCATTTGTGGGCAGCCTGAAATCGAAGGGTTTCTGGAGGCAGGGGCGAGGACCCAGGGTTTCTACTCAAAGCCAGGCGGCAACCTTGCAGGTTGACTTTAGAGGGGCTGGGTTGACAGGTGCACAGGTATGGCCCCCACAGCCCTGCCTTCGGGATGGAGATTTAACTGGGGGACCGCTGGGACTGGCCCAGGCTCTGAGGTCCAAGGACGGGAGCCAAGTCCCACCCCCTCACCACAGCTGTCCCTCCTGATTTTCTTCCAGGCGACAGTCCCCTCCCTGTCCATTCCCTGACCTGGACCCCTCAGGCATTTTCGCTCGGTCCTAGCCACTTTGCCCATTGTGTGAGGCACAGGCTGGGGCAGGGGCACAGCAGGGCCTGGGAAGCTCGTACTTGGCCTGGAGCTGGCAGAGTTCCTGGGCCAGCACCTGCAGGTACCCGTCCTCATCACCGGTATTGCTTGGGCCAGACCCCTGGCCTGTGTCCATGGCATGGCCACGGGCATTGCCCTTCATCATCCCGGGCCACTCTGGAGGACAAGGGCCACGTGGACCAGGCAGGAAGGAGGTGGCAGCAGCAGCCATCAGGGCAGCTTTGTCCTCTGACCCTTCCGATGGTCCTCGGAAACCAGGTTCATTCCCACGTCATAGAACAGGAAACAGAAGCTGTTTCAAGAACTGGATTTGGACTCAGGGTTCACTAAACCCAAAGTCCAGCGTCTTTGAGCTGCACCCCAGCTCTGAAGGGGCCAGATGTGTCCTTCTGTAGCAGCATTATTGCCCTTGCCACCCCATCATGGGGATGGCCCCCTCACCACCAAATCCCAAGGTCACCAGGATGCCTGGGGTTTCCAACAGGAACTGGCTTCCAACAGTATCCAGGAAAGAGTCCTGGTGTGAGAGCTGGGGGCTGGTTCAGAAAGCTGACTGTATAGAGAGAGGTGGCAGCTTTGTCATCTGTCCCTTCCCACCCATCCCTCCATTCATTATTGCATTTAACTGACATCACAAACTCAGCATACACAGAGCTTATCCAGCTGGAGTGGAGACCGAGACAGACACCCGTAAGCTCGTGGTCAAGCTGGGAAGGTGGTCTAGTTAACAGGTAGTTTCAACCTCGCCTTGCAAAGAGTTCTGGGGCCGCTCACCTAAGTCTGGTTCCCAGTTATGGCGAAAAGGAGAAGAAGGTCTCCCTGAGGGCACTGTTCATTGGCCCCGTCCTGGGCCAGCCCCAGTACATGGGAGGAGCGGGGAGAGAAGGTGAAGGGACTACACTGTCAGTTTTTGGGCCCCAAGCATCAGACGTAGGTACATGAGCACAGGGCAGGAGCAAGGGGCCCAGGTCACTCACTCAACGCCAGAAGCACAAAGCCACAACTGAGCCATGACATCACAATGCTGGCTGCTGTCCTCGTGACCTATCCACGCAGGATCCAGCTGTGGGTGGAACGCCAGGTTTTCTGTGGCTCTGTGGTCCTCTGCACCCCCGCCTCCCTGGTTCGGTTCCCAAGGAGAAGGGATAGAGAAGCCGTGGGGACTTCAGGGGAGACTTGGGTTATTTCTGTCTTTTCTCTCAAGGTTGGTCATCTGTAGGCAAGGTGGGGTCATTCTTGAAGCTCTCACTTTGTGGGCCACCCAAATTCCACTGGTCTTTCCTAGGACTCTCCCTTTTACCTCCTACCTGACTTTGGGTGGCTGGGCACAGGTTGGGCACTCAGCAACCTAGAAAGGCTCAGCCCTGCCCGTGGCTCAAGACCATGCCTGGCCCAGGGCAGGGAAAGGGGAAGCTAAAGGAGCCTTCAGGACCTAAGCCTGGGGACTGTCCCTGCCTTGTTGTCAAAGGCTGGGGCTGAGCTGGGGCTGGGATGAGGGCTGGGCAGGTGCGGGACCCAAGGCTGGGGTAAGGGCAAGGTGAGAGCCGATGGGCTCATTCTGATTCTGGGACAGCTCCCCCATTTTCCACTCCTCAGCCATTCCCCTCATGACGCCTCATCAGCAGGCAATGGATTCAGTCCCTGCCAGCCCCGAAGACCCCGAGCAAGTCCCAAGGGAGGCGTCTTTGTGTGACCCTCCATGGTTCTGAAGCCCGTCAAACATTTGTTGAGCATCCGCTGAGAAACTAAGGTGAGTGGGGCCTGGTTCTGGCTTTGGGTTCAGACAGGGGAGGAGGAGAAGGGTATATGCACAGGGAATTCTGGTGCAGACGGAGAGAAGCCCAGGGCTGCCCAGAGGGTGAGAGCCAGCCAGGGGGTGTGGAGAACGGTTGGCGTTGACCATGTCTGAGGTTCTTGAGGATAAGAACGAGTGAAGAAGTAATATGGAGAGGACATGCCTGGCAGAAGGAACTGCAGGATCAGAGGCACAAGGCAGCCTGCATGGTCTGTGAGAGCTGTAGGTAGATCCTGAAAAACAGAAGATGAGAGGCCAGCCGAGTGGCTCAGTTGGTTAAAGAGCGCGAGCTCTGAGCAACAGGGTCGCCGGTTCAATTCCCACATGGGCCAGTGAGCTGCGCCCGAGCTGAGCTGCCGCTGAGCTGCCAACAGGTGGCAGGATGGCTCAGCTGGTGAGAGCACGTGCTCCTAACAACAAGGTTGCTGGTTTGACTCCCGCATGGGTTGGTGGGCTACGCCCACCCACAACTAAAGACTGAACTCGGCACCTTGAGCTGAGCACCTGTGAGCTGCCATGGGTGGCCGGATAGCGACTGGACTTGGAGTTGAGCTAGCTGTGCCCTCCACAGCTAAGATCAAAAGACAACAACTTGGCTGTTCCCCTTCTCCAATGAAACCTTTAAAAAAACAAAACAAAGCCAAAAAACAACAACAGAAGGTGAAGTTCAGGGAGGGCTTGCTTTGGGATGTGGCTGGAGGAGCTGTAAGTAGGAGACAGAGTATATATATATATATATATATATATATATATATATATATATATATATATATATATATATATATATATATATATATGCCAGGCTGTCTGGTAGAAACTCACCAGGCTGCTGTGGGCAAAGAGGACACCCATGGCAGGCTGTGAGGGAGGGCCTCGAATCAGAAGAAGAGCTACAGACCCAGGCTCAGAGACGACAGGGGCCCAGAGCACCCCTGGAGATCCAGGCAGCAAGAACTCAGGGGGCCATCTCCACATAAACCCTCCCCAACCATTTTCCATCAGCCTCTCCATCCTCAAGGATCAAGATCCCTAGAGAGGACGCCCACTGGGCTTGACAGGCAGTCACATCATAGGAGTGGCGCCGGGGGCTGGAGGTTTCCCAGAGCAAACCCCAAGCCATTGGCTGGAGAAGGGGAAAAGGGGGCTGAGCAGGTGCTCACCACACGCAAGGAGCTTGGTCTTCGTCCTGAAAGCAACAGCCGCTGTAGAGTTTCCACTGAAGGTGTGACGTGGTCAGACTGGCATTTCAGAGTGTGTTCTCGGCTCAGCATGGAGGTGAGGCAGGGAGACCAGCCGCTGTGGCTCACCTTTGTCAGCACAGTTCTAAGCACTTTCCATGCAGAAGGTAGTTTAACACAACACGCCAGCCGTTACCGGGTTGTGATAATTTCCTCGGCTCTTGTCTTCTCGAGGGAAAGAATTCAGCCGAGAGACAGTTTTGTGCAGGTATAGGGTAGTAAGAAGTTTATTAGCAAAAGCAGATACAACTGTAAGATGTGGAGGGGACCTATCCCAAAAGGGGGAAAGGCCTCTCCTCACATTGTATGAAGGCTTTTATTTCTATGGGTATTGTTGCCGCCCCTTCTCCCTTCTCCCTTCTCCCTGTCTCTTTCTCTCTGGCTGAGCTGCCCAGTCCTCCCTTTTGCCTCTCAAGGCAGTGTCTGTCAAGTTTCTATTTATGATTTGTTTGAGGATCTCACTAAAATGGCTCTGATAAGCAGGATGTATATTCTGATAAGCAGGATGTCTTCTAACAACACATCCCTTTGATTTAGGGGCATGTGTGAGCCTGGAGTCCTGCTGGGCTAGTGAGGCATTGGTGCCCTAAGTGAGGGCAGCTGCCGGGGGTCTGGACCCCAGTAGGAGCTGCAGCGAGGGGCTTTCTAACCGGGGCCGGGTCTCTTTCTCCTGCTCATTTCTATCTATCTACCTAGCCTATCACCACTCCACAGAAGAGGAGACTGAGGCCCCGAGAGGCTTAG